TCAAGAATATTCTCTTACCACTGCTATTCAACATTGTACTGGAAAGCCTAGCTAGACAAGAAAAGGAAATAAAATGTGTACAAATCAGGAAGTTTGATAGGCTAATAGTGACTCCTGAAGATAGGTTCACCTCCTAATCCCTGGAACCTGTAAATGTTACCTTCTTTAGGAAAAGCAGCTATTGCAGGTGTGATTGATTTAAAGGTGTTGCAGCGAGGTGATCTTCCTGGATTATCCAGATGGGCTTTATATGCCATCTTGACAAGTGTATAAGAAAGACACAGAGGGCGATTAGACTTATGAACAAGAGGGAAGGCGATATGAAGACAAAAGCAGAAATTGCAGTGCTGCAGCTGAGAAAAGCTGAAAGCCATCAGAAGAGGCGGGAACAGATTATCCAGAGTCTCCACAGGGAGTATGTTGACACATTTATTTTGGACTTCAGGCCTGCAGAATGGTGAGAGAATACATTTCTGTTGTTTTGAGCCACAAAGTTGGTGATCACTTGTTAAAACAGCCATAAGAAATGGATATAAGAAGAAAGATATGAAACTGTCTTTGTTTATAAACAACATGATTGTAGAAAATCCCCCCGAATCAACAAACTCCTGAAACTGATAAATGAGTTTACCAAGGTTGCACAATACAAGGTTAATATACAAAATTTAGCTACTTTCCTGTCTACCAGCAATGTACAATTTGAATTTGACATTTAGACAACTACTGTTTGCAAAAGCACCCAGTTTCCATAGATTCCATCTATTTACATGTATTTGTATATAAATGGGTTAATATACACAGATATATTTCCCTGTGAGGTCAGCTGAGAGAGCTGAACATAAGACCACTAGGGCAGCAGTGAGCACACCTAGCACCGAGATAGTGATTTCTAACACTGTTCTCCAGTGAAAGGAACCAAGGTTCATTGAGGAAATGGCTTATACCAGGGTTGATGCAGAAAACACAGAAGATAAGCCCTGAGCATCTTGTAGTCTCAGAAAGCAAGTGCTTAAAAAACAGAAAAATCCACATGGTGCAAACAGATACAGGAAGCAACTGAAAGAGCTCCCAGTGGCCAAAGCTGGAACTGTATGAACAATAAAATAAATAAGGTAGTGTGGGATCATAAACCCAAGTGTAAAATAAATATCTTCAAGTCTATGCTGATAGTAAGTAAATTATTGTAAATTTTAAAATGGAGAAGACACAAACCTTCCCATATAAAAATTCCAAGCAATTTATGTAGCTAAGCCCCCCTCAAGGAGGTAGATTATAACTTCCCATTCCTTAAGTATGGGATAACCATAATGACTTTTTTTCCAAAGAGTACAGTATGAAAAATGGGGAAAAAAAGATTAGCTTTACAGTGGTGAAAGTGAGCCAACACTAAGTACATCAGCCAAGTGCTCAAGGTCAACATCAACAGTTGTAAATCATGGTGCTATTACGTGCCTTTGACATAATGTGCTGTTCATAGCAGTTTCCCTCTGTGGTTTTCCCAAATCCATAACCTTAGTCCAGTGATGAAAAAAACATTTAACAAATCCCAATTGAGGGACATTCCACAAAATACCTGACCAGTACTTTGAAAACTGTCAGGGTCAGCAAAATAAAATCAGAATCTAAGAAACTATCACAGCCAGGTGGAATCTATGGAGACGTGACAAATACAGTATGCTAGATGGGATTGGATATTGAGTCACACTAAGGAAATCTAAATAAAGTGTGGACTTCAGTTAATAATAGATCAGCATTGGTTCCTTAATTGTTGCAAGGTACATAATTATATAAGATAGTAATCATAGGAAAAACCGGGTGTGGGTATATGAAAACTCTATTATCTCTAAGTTTTCTTTATATTGAAATCTGTTCTAAAACTAAATGTTTATGTAAACATAAACAAACTATTTTGTTCTGAGCCACCAGCCCAGTTTTGTTACCAGGACTGGAATGAAACACAAAATTATTTTCCCTTCTTCATTAGTCAGTTAAAGGTGGAAAATATAGTAGTTTTTTTTTTTCTTGATAGCTGTGTCCATTCATCTAGAAATTATTTATTGAGCTTCTCCAGTGTATCCTGCCTTGAGGATATAGAAGAGTATAAGAAAGATACAGCACCTGCCGGTAGACGTCAAGAAAGGGACATAGATATGCAAACAAATAATGTTCAGGCCACTGTAGCTACTGCTGGGCTACTGTTGCTGCCATACTAGATCTTCTGCTTTACTCTCCCAAATATATTAGGAAGAGAGTCTCCACCTCACCCTTCTGAAGGAGCCTGGCTTTTTTGATGAACTTTAGATAGTGTGGTTTTTAAGAGATTGTGCCTTGTTTTTAGACCTCCAAAGGTAGCCTTGTTTTTTTTTTTTTTTTTTTGATATAGAGGTTTGCTCTGTCACCCAGGCTGGAGTGCAATGGCACGATCTTGGCTCACTGCAACCTCTGACTCCCAGGTTCAAGCAATTCTTCTGCCTTAGCCTCCCAAGTAGCTGAGACTACAGGCACCCGCCACCATGCCTGCCTTATTTTTTTTCGTTGTATTTTTGGTAGAGATGGGATTTCTACTAAAAATATGTGTGCCAGGCTGGTTTTGAACTCGTGACCTCCTGATCTGCCCACCACAGCCTTCCAAATTGCTGGGATTACAGGTTTGAGCCACCATGCCCAGCCGGTAGCCTTGGTCTTCTGTCTTAATCTTCTCTTCCAAGATGCTTAGAAGAATTTAGATGATACCCAAAGCCTTTAGTGAATCCAAAGATGTCACATATTAGAAAAACACATCTTGATATCATTGTGGATTCTTCTGGGATGTTTCCCTCACCTTCTTACATCTATGTGGAAGCTTTGATCTCTTCCTTTTGATTGTCTCATTTCTGATGTAGGCACCAGGCATCAGTTCTATAGTCTGTTCATCCATGCATTTTTAAATGAACTTAGTATATGCCTAGCTCAAGACCTTTCCATTTTGTTTTCCTGCTCATAATGCTGTATCCCCACATTTCCTTCATTCAGTCTGTATTTGGATTTCAGTAATCAGAGGTGCTCCTATGATAGCTCTTTAAATATAGCTGCCCCTCACCAACTCCATCACTATATCATTACATTGTATTATTTTTCTCCATAGAAGCTATCTCTACTTGACATTTATTTCTTTATTGTCTTTCTCTTGGAGAACACCTGCTCACAAAGGCAGGAACTTTCTGTTCATTGGCGGGTCTGTTCCCAGCATCTCTGGGGCGGAGTCTGGCGCATGGTAGTACTGAGTAAATACTTGTTGAACAAATGCAGGCATGATAGTCACGTCTGCAGCTTCTCCCAGTCACCCTACAAACCCAAAGAAATGAAGGCTTCCAGTGACCTGCTCTGATGCATCAGTGTTTATGGAATTTATACGGACTGCAGTCCTACTTAAGTCCTTGCCTCATTTCTATCTGTATAGTAACTGATGGTCTTCAAAGTGCTTTTGCATAGACTGTCCCTTTTGATGCCTCGAATACTGTATAGTGCAATGCTATGTGTAACACTATGAAGCAAGTAGGAATTTCTTAGACCTATTTTACAAATGAGGAATGTGAGGGAATGGAGTTTGAAAGGTAACCATCACAGCCAGAGCTAGAAACCAGATCTCCTGACTTCTGGCTCATCTGGTGATTACGTGGGGTTCACATTGCATCTCTACCAGTGTCTACATTGTATGGTTTTGAGGGCTAGGTCTTGAATTTTTTGTTTTTATATTTTCCACATGCCTCATACACAGAGTGCTTAATAAAGTATGTTTCTTTGGGCCTTTTGGCCACTTCAGCTTTTATCTTTGACTTCATTAGTGGACTTGAGGAGGATCTCAGAGACTGGTTTTAGGTATGGTGCCACAGACTCGGTAGGTTAGAGCCAGGCACACAAATCACCTAGGAACTGCGGTTATGTTAGTTTCTGATTTAGAGGGTCTGGGGTAGTGCCTGAGAGTATGTGTTTTTAACAAGCTCTGGGAGTGCCCATGCTGCTGGGCAAATTTTATAATGAAATTTACCTTTCGTTATAAAAGACCACATTCATCTTCCACACTGAGTATTTCAGGGCCATGGAAGATGTGAAAGATGCGTTCTTTGTTTGGCTAAACAATCTGACTGTGTGAACCTAGGCAAGTTTCTTGGAAACACCGACATATTGTTTAGGTTCGATTACTTTGGTTAAAATCCTAAGTTTCTGTTTACTGTGTGATCTCAGGTAAACTACTTAACTTTTCTGTGCCTCAATTTCCTCTTTAAAAATAGAGATCATATTATTCCTTATCTTATACAGATATTGACTGAATTAACACCTGTAAAGCACCTAGATGTATAATGCACAGCACTAAATGAATGTTAACTACTGTGATCCTTTCTTTGTTTCCTTGTGTTATTCTGTTAAACTCCATCAAGAGGTCTAAGATACATTTGAAGGAAGGAAGTTGTTTAAGATACTTGCAAGGTATGAAACAGCATGGTGTCTTTCATGGAAACACTAATCTGGTTGGAAGACAGTGCTTTCATTAAGGAACAATGCAATGGAAATCAGCTAATGGTGATTCTTCTTCAGTAACTGTATACTGTGTACTTTTCATTAAGCATGAGCAAATTAGGAGAAAACGAGTAGGCACTCCAGCTTTGCAGTAAAGTGTTATGTATGATATTAAGCATGGGGCATAGAATTGTTTTTATTCATCTCAGTTATGTATTAAATGAAGCAACTTGATTTTAATTGGCAGTGTGGAAATATGGAGGTAAGAATATCAGAGGTCAGTGAGAATATATTTGGTGCCTGATATACTGACGTAAGGGGGGAAAAGGATGGACATAATTATTTTAAAGGGAGATTTGGGTTCTACTTTTTCCATTAATTAGTGGAAAATAACGTTGAGTTTCTTTGGGAAAAAAATTTACACAATTCATTTCTCCCACTGACTCAAAAGTGTAAAAAATAAATCTTTAATTAACATGGAATTTTTCTTCTTTTTGTCTTAGGATCAGATTTTATTAAGACCTCTACTGGAAAAGAAACAGTAAATGCCACCTTCCCGGTAGCTATCGTGATGCTACGGGCCATTAGAGATTTCTTCTGGAAAACTGGAAACAAGGTATATTATTATTACCAGCAGATCTTTCTTCGGAGTAAAGATAATGTTATTTATAATACTAGTTACAGCCAGGATAACTGCGTTTGTATGGAGAAGCTGTGAATGAATTCCCTTTATTAAGATAAATGTTTAATTTACCTTTCATTATAAAAGGCCGCATTCATGGAGAAAAATGTATGATTAACAGAAAGTGAGTGTGAGTGTGGGCGTATGTGTGATCAAGATGTAAACTCACTTTATGTCCTTTTGTTAACCAAAGACAGTTTTGTCACCGACAAGAGATTCCTAAATGGGTTCTTTCACGAACGAATTCTGCTGCAACACCGAGGCTTTCTCGCAAGGCGTTGGCCAGTGAAAACAGGTTAATGCAGAAATTAAACTTCCTTGAGGAATGGAAAGAATTGCAGAGTAACATTTATTGAATGATAAGCTGTGGTGGCGATATGAAAAGTATGCAGTATAATGGGAAATAATCTTTCCCTGTCATTATTGAAGGACACACATAAATTGGTTTTTCTGTTGGGAAACCCCCGGTCCAGAAAAACTTATTACTTTTAATAATATGAGGTGAAGAGAAAATTCTCGAGGAGATGAACTTATTAAACAAAATAATGAAATGCTGTGAAACAGCAGGGAAAAGGTAGCTAGACGTTATATAGCCCTTGAATTAAATATCAATTTTTGCGTTTTATGGCAGTTGGATGTGCTCTTTGGAAGACTGTTAGGCTGAGGAGGGTGTGTACTAGCTTTTGTCAGCTTTTTGAAAAATAACACATATTTTTTGAAACATACGAAGTTAAAGGGAAAAAAATGTGTATGAGGTGCTTTTTTAAAAATGAGTTTGGATTTTCCTTTTCATCTCAAGTTGCTTGTTTAGCTGCAGATTATCTCAAAGGATTTTTTTACATGATTGGAGAGAAAGGTGTGTGTGTGTGTGTGTGTGTGTGTGTGTGTAATAAGACTTTCCCTTCCTAAGAGGCGTCTTTTAAAACCAGTCTCTTGATTTATGCCAAAAAGAAACCCCAAAAAGACCTTTAGTCCTTTGTTCACCTGATGTGATGACTTTGTGTGTAACTGTAGCTTCAGTTTATTTTGGAATAGGTGACTTTTTTTTTGGAATATGCTAGTTTATGAGAGGAAATAAACTCCTTCCAGAATTTTCTCTCTTAGAAAAACTTCACATCTTAATTATGAATAGGATAAATATCTATTGTGACCTACATGAGAAAGGTGACCCAATTTGAATAACCTCTACTTGATAGCCTGTCTGCAGTGATCCAAATAAGCTAAAAGATTTTTTGTTTAAGCTGTAAAGATGATAAATCTATGTTTGGTCCTCAGTTGAAGCTACCACCACTCATTAGATTGTGATTCTCATAGCCAAAGAACATCAAAACCAAATGTGAAGCTTTTTTATCCTTTATAGATGCCTGGGCCCCCATCCCTGGTAGTTTTGGGTCTGGTGTAGTCCTCAGACATCTGTATGCATTAAGTTCCATTGTCAGGGTTCAGACTTGCCACTGGGGATCCAGTCCTGTTTTGTTCTCAACACACAGTTAACCATGTGCCATGTTAACCTGTGTTAAATGCTAGGAATGGAAAAATGACTACGTCCCTTCTCAGGAGAGCTCTTAGACAACAAGCAAAGAATGTCAATGAAAATTTTAAGCGCTCCATGTTCCAGGCCAGAGTACAGAGGGAGGGACACTTTGCTGTCTTTCAGTCCTTTCTTTTTAATTGTGTGGATTCTTTCCCCAGCTAATAAATAAGTCCATCCTAGTTTATTAAGAAAAAGACAGGTACAAGTCAAATGGTATTCATTTAATCATATTTGATTTCAAACAAAGAGGTTGTGTATGTTTGCAAATCAGGTGCGGCCTTTTGAGTTGTTGACAAGCTGCTTGGGCAGTCCTTAGACTATTAAGTTTCTGTGTCGTGGGTTTAAGGGTATTTTAAAATGTGATAGGCCACCTTCCAGACCATGCTTATGTCACTCCTGAGAAGCAGAGGTTTAATATTTCATAACTGATTTCATTGCAGATTTATGTTTTCCATATTCTCTCTCTTAAAAAAAAAAGGATAAACTTATGTTAGAACCTCTCTGGAAACAGACTTGCTGACACAAACCGGACTATATAGAAAATCTATAAGAAGCGCTACCTAATTGACAAAAATGTTCCTATGATTAACATGTATGCTAATATCAGCTAATTGATTTTTTTTTGGCTGCTTCTCAACAAGTAACCTCATCCTGTTTAACCCCCTTGCTGCCTTACAGAGTCATAGCCTGGGCTCTAGAGTAATAGCAGATACGGTTGGAATCCCTGCATTGCTACTGCTTAGTTATGTGACCTTGTGTAATTGAGGCAGGGAAACAAGAGACTTTTACTGATATTTCATGTGAGAATTGATGAGGGTCTAAACTGAAACAAGCGAGTGCAGAGGAAAGTGTTCCTGGGGGGTAAGGAAGTTAAGGAGGCAGAATTGGCAGAACTTAAATATTGATTGGGTGTGGTGTGGCCAGGGAATGGTAGGGTTTGGGTTGAACTATAACCTTCCCTGCCTGGGCTGATAATAGACTATATTCATTTAATGCCTCCCTTCTCTAGCATTCTGTGAGCAGTAATCTGCCAGTGCAACCCATCACAGCCCTGCATGACAAAATGTGAGAGATTTGCTACTCAGGCTCTGGGGTGTTGTTTTGACCACTAACATCTATAGATTCCCTACTCTACTGCATAGTCAAGTTCCTGAGACATGTAAAACCAGATAAGCAGAGTTTTATTGTATATGGAGCATATCTTTCCTTTCCTAATGAATCCAGGGACATCATTTGCGAATATCAGATATTGGCTGGATTGGGCTGTGTTATGGTCAACCCTAAAAGACTACTGGAGTATGTGGACACCCCCACCCCATGTTCTTCTACTGTGCTTATGTAACTTGTCTGCCTGCAGCTTAGGAAAAAAAAAATCCCTGCAGATGAATTGATTAAAACAACTGTCAACTTTCCTTGCTGGATTGCTGCCAGTTTGGTTAGGGTAATCTTGCAGCCTTGCTGATTCTGTCCTTTTATTTTAAATGCACGTGTCTTTTGAACCTCAGGAGAAGTGACTACACAGGCTCACTTGTAGAAATGCAGAATGAATGGGCCTTTGTGATCTGTTTTCCTATTTATTGACACCTTCCTTGCTTATTCCAGGTTCACAGCTATAGTCTAGATGGTTGAGGTTTATGACTCTCCAATAAGTGAAATGTCAATGAGGGTTAGTAACCCTCATTAGTGTCTCTTCGAAAGCAGTGACATTCTCCAAAAATCTTGGGAAAGTTGTTTTGTAGTGCGAATGGGCATGAGTCACTGATCTAAGCCCTTTTGCTGGGTGAAGTGAAAAGGTTTTTTTCAACAACAGAGGGAGAGAGAATCAAGACTCTGATAAACATAGTATCATTTTTAAAAGAAATCCAGTAACAATAAAGATCGGTCTATTCTCTGCCTTCCCATTTAGATAGGCTTTAAGCCAGCAGGAGGCATCCGCAGTGCAAAGGATTCCCTTGCTTGGCTCTCTCTTGTAAAGGAGGAGCTTGGAGATGAGTGGCTGAAGCCAGAACTCTTTCGAATAGGTGCCAGTACTCTGCTGTCAGACATTGAGAGGCAGGTGAGTAATAATCTCTATCTTTGGAATAAATTGACAAGTGTTTTTGAGAAAGGAATTGAAAGGTCAAATTGAGAACTACAGATCAAAACTCATTTGATTGACCTCATCCTACCCGATCCTCTACTTTTTCTTCCAAGCAAATCTCCATCGGAGGTGAGTTGGGTGAAGCACAAACTAATGAGGCTTTATAATGAAATGTTTGTTAAAACTATTCATTATTACTTGTTAGTATAATTATTAACGGATGTGTATAATTATAGAATGATTGTTAATTACTAAACTCTGCTTTTCCTCACAGATTTACCATCATGTGACTGGAAGATATGCAGCTTATCATGATCTTCCAATGTCTTAAATGAGTCGCCAGTTCCAGAAAAGTTTTTTATGACAATGTTTAAAAATTATTTTCCTACATAATTGCTAAAGTTATTAATTAACAAGTAGAACAATAGGTAACGGGCATTTCTCTCTGGAAAATTTCCATTGAACTTAAAGAATGGAGCTAAAACCCAAACTTATCCCCATTCGCAGGTACTCATTTCAGGCACATCTGAAATGATCTGAGTTACTTGAAGATCTGCGCTATTCACTTTGTGAGGGGCTTCTCCTAAAAACTCTAAGTACAATGTTAATGGCAGCTTTGACAACATCAAATTCTAAGGGGGAATAAAGCGGCATTAAAGTGCCCAAATAGTGTGCCCTAAGAAAGGAACGTGCAGCATCCCGCAAATGCTGCTGTAACGACTTCAGGAGTCACTGATGCAGCACGGATTTCTTGCCCTGAAAACTCATCTTTCATTTTCTATGGATATGCTCTTTTATTAATTGTTTTGCTAATGCAGTTTCTGGTACTGTTATATACAACTATGAATATCATTAAAATTTTTTAAATAATAAAGTTTGTATAGTTTATTATTATTTTTTAAATTGTTACGATACATAATGAAAAAGTAATCCCTTAAACATAAAAAGAGGTTTTATCAGTGAGTTCCTGAATCTCTCTAGTTGATTCCTTGGGTATATATCTGTAAAGCACCTCAGTATATTATTAATGAATGCAACTTACGTATGTATTCTGAAACTCTTCAGATGTTCTGGTGTACGGATTGGAGGAAAGCAGTAGATATTAACAGCACTTGCCATGTAATAAGCTTAACATATATCAATTTATTTAACTCTGATTTAATCTTCGTAATAGTAAGGTAAATACTGTAAGGGTTTTAATCCTTACAGCAGTAAGTACTGATGTAAGCATCCTTTTATTCAGACAGCAGACTGAGGAACAAAGAAATTTAAGCAACATGCAAAAGGTTGCTCAATATTCAGAGTTAAGAATGAAGCCCAAGCAGACAGGTTGGCTCTGAAGTGCATGCCATGATCTGCAGGTATCCCGGACCCTCGGTACACATAGTCACGTGTGCATAAAAACAGCTCCCCATAAGCTCGGGCACAGTAATCTGCCTCGTGGTCAGCCAGTTTTTTTGCTCCCTGTCTGCCCCAGCCTCACTCCTCAGAGATTCTGCTTGCTAGCTTCTCTGCCATGTTACGGAATGTGTTTCCTTAAATGGTGATTTTCACCAGGAGAGCGTCTTTCTTCCCTGAATGGCTCTCTAGTTGCTCATAAACAAAAACCTGGACTGGAAGTCAGTTTGGATTTCATCTCCCCTGCTGGATTCTCGCCTGAACTCTCCCCCTTTCTGCCTTTGACTCCTTGGTCTGCTCAGTTCCCATCTCACTGTCTTCATCTGTAACGTAAAGGGGTTGGGGCAGATGATATGGAAGTTCCTTCAGACCCAAAACTACGTCACCCTAAGGATAATGAGAACAAATCCAAGAAAATATTTTATGGCTGAAAAGAGAAAACACTTTTCTACCAATCTAAATTAGAAGTCGCCTCTTGGGAGACAATTTAGCAAGTCCTTCAAAGCACCTCTCTAATTATAAATGAAATGACTGAAACAAGAATAGAAAAGAAATTCTGTTTTCCCCCAATGCCTCAGGAGGATGCCAGCTTTTGACTTGTGCCTCTGGGTATGGTCAGTGGCTCCGAATGCCATATTCAGCCTCATCATACGTTAGCCCAGGTGCCCACCACTACAGTGGCCAGTCACCTTTGGAGAAGAAACATTACAGAAAAATAATGAGTCTGTCACCTTTGAAGCTATTCCAATTTCACAGGGGTTTCTGTTTTCCTCCCATTAAACCCAGCTGGTCATTTTAGTTGATCAAGTGAACAGGCATCATTATCTTCAATTTTAATTTATATGAGGCATTCACTGAAATTGACCTCTGTGGACAATTACAGATTCACATAGGAAATTAAGACTAGTGAGTCCCTCAGACCTATTAGAGGCTGATGAGCATAGCCTGATCTAAAGGTAAGTAATGTTATATTTGGGAGGAAAATTTATTCCAAGGACTACGGGACTCTTCATCCGGAATGTCTGCCCATCCTTACCTGGCTCTTGAAATCAAATGTAACACGGATGACTTTAATAGGAACACCCTCATTAGTGCGGATTGCTATGAAAACGTAAGAGGAAGAGATCATTTCTGAGGTGACTGTGATTTACTACAAGCTGATTTGTGTACGTCAGAACATTGGGATTAGATGCTTTATACAATCGGAAAATAACTTGCTATGTTCTGTGTTTAAAGCCTCTAAGTTAATGCAAGCACCCTGCCTTGTTGCAATTGTTCAGTAAAGCATATTAGGTATGAAAGTTATTTTTGAAACAGTCATATAATTTGGGAGCATAAAGAGACTTTAGAGAACATCTACTTCATCACTGTCTTTTTTTTTTTATGTTGAGAAAAGAAACAGATAAGTCACTTGTGCAAGGTCACATAGAATGTTAGAGCTGATGCAAAATGTACATTCCCACCGTATGATGAACTAATTTCCAAGACATACCCTGGTCTTTGGAACTGAAAATTTCTTGTTTATGCATCCTGCTGTACCTAATTATGTTTGTCAGCATGTGAACCCAAGACTTTCAAGAGATTCGTTTTTGCCTCTAAGAGTCTTCTAAATGGTGTCTTAGAGACCAACCTTCTCAGTCTAGCCCATGTGATAGTGTGATGGTATGGTTGATTTCATCTGTTAGAATCTCAGAATTTTGGATGACCTCTAGAACTGAATTTTTTAAAGCATTGAATATTACTTCGTTTTGTTTTAAGGAAAAAAATATGGGGGGGGCTTGTTTGGATTCTAATTTGTATACACATGGAGAGAAGATGACATGTAGTTCCAAAACTGTTTGATAATTAAAGTATTGTTGCCTCATTCTGGATTATTTCAACACTAATGAGAAATTCAGACAAACTGGTTCTCATGAGAAATAGCTTGGAAAGAGACCCGTATAGCAGCAGAAACTTACAGAAATCTGGAAGTGCATCCTCACAGCAACATAACATAGTCTCCATCCTGACTGAGCAGAGGTTTGTTGTGTCATACATACATGTCTTGCAGAAACCAAATATAGAGAAACCAAATCCATTTCTCTGGAAAAATTAACTTATATTTGGAGTGCAGAAGGAAACCATTGATTTTTCTTCCATCAGCCCGATACTGTACACATTATGAATAGGGCCAGAGTGCAGAAATATAAAGAAGAAGAAAGAATTTGAATAGATCTTACCTTCCAAGGCAGTGAAATGTTATGCCTGTTTTGGCACGAGGAAAGAGGTATGAGGTGAAGTCAATTTCTACACTTATTTTCCTGATCACTCTCAGGGGGTTTGCCTCCCAAAGAAAATATGTATTTTATAACCACCACCAAATGATCCTTTTTAGAAATGACCACAGGTAACATCTGGCTGATATATAAAATATGTAGTAAAAATAATCATTTTTAATTGACTAAAACCTGCTCAGGAGAGAGTCAGAGGAATATCCATCTGGTCAATTCACACTTAATAGGACAGATGAGGATCAGGATGTTTAATGCAATATATGTGAAATACTTAGTGACCTTACAATGAACTAAAACTTTTTATTAGGAAAAAGAACACAGATGAGGAGGAAGAATTGGAATATCTAGAAAGGACAGACCCAAAACTTGCTGTTTTTAGAAGTACATCTTGTCAAACACGTAGAATATAGGAAACCTAGATTGTGTGGCATTAGCTTCTATCGCCCAATGACAGGGAATGTGTTCAATTCATCTGAACAATAAAATAAGGTTATAGTTTATTCTGGAGATTGGCAACGAGTTTTAAGAAGTGATTCTAAGTACTTTATAAGATGTGATTGTAAGTAAAGGTTAAAGGAACTGAGATTATTTAGCCTGAAGGGAAGATCAAAGGGTACTTAATGCCTGAAAATCCCAGGAAAAGTTACTTCTCTATTAGATTTTAGTGACACCGTCCTGTATCTCTCTCTCTCTCTCTCTCTCAAAGTAGAATTTATGCTACGTGTGAAGTTAGGTTAGTTCTAGGTAAGGACTTGCTTAACGTACTAGAATGTGTTATTAAGAAGGTTCATCTTACTATTCTTAGTAATAGACTTGTCTTTTTTATTTGATGGTTTAGTTGTGCTGCCAAAAAAAAAGTGGTATTCAAACTGAATCATTGGGAGAGTTGTGTAAAACAAGTCTCAGCTGCACCCCCCCGCTCAACTTCCTGTTCAATGTTAGCTGTAAAACCTGAGAATTTGTATTTCCAGCAAATGCCCAGGTGATGGTGATGCTATTGTTGTGCTCCAGGAACCGCACTTTGGGAATCACTACGTTAGAAATCCTTGTACTCAATATCTAGATTCCAAATTAAATGTATCTATTAAGCAGTAAAATCCACCAGCTGCAGCACTTCTGTGTCCTGAAGCTCTAGGATAAATGTATATTTTGCTGCTTTTCATAGCCAAGAGCAGGAGGGAGGACAATGGAAATGAATTATCCCTTAATCCTTTCACACGAGGCAATGAAGTCGATTTCACTTTGGGCTTAAAAGCAAGCTTTGGATCCTAGAATAAACATTTTAGATGAATTTTAAATCATTATCCATAAAATCTTCAAAGGACTTTATCAAGCCAAGATTGTAAGATTCAGCTGTATTTGATTCCACCAGTCTGGAATGCTATAACTGGCAATTTAAATATAATGTACTGTAAAACCAAGACATATCTTAACAGAGCCCATTCTTCAACTTTTATTTAGAATAGATAAGATATTGTAGGGAACGGCATGTTTTACAGATACTTGGCTTATTTTGAAGGTACTGTGTAGATGGTCCCTAGGGCAAATGAAAATGTTAGTTCCGTGGTCTTTTCCACATAAAACAATGTTTTAAATTTTTGTTTTGCTTTCTAAGTGCTTTGCCAGGACCATACTGCATATAGGCAGGTTTCTTAATTGGAAACAACAGAACTCTCCTCTACCTAGTTTAAGTGAGAAAAGATGCTTATTCTTAAAGCATGCTGTCACAGGATATCTGGGTTGGGCAAATACTGGCAAGTTTTATTAGACTACTCTTGCATCACTATAAAGAAATATCTGGGACTGGGTAATTTATAAATAAAAGAGGTTTAATTGGCTCATGGTTCTTCAGGCTTTACAGGAAACATAGTTCTGGCATCTGCTTAGCTACAGAGAGGCCTCAGAAGGTGAAGGGGAAGCAAGCACACCACATGGTGAAAACAGGACAAAAGGCAGAATGGGGAGGTGTCACATACTTTTAAATGACCAGCTCTTGGGTGAATTCACTATGGCAAAGAGCTCCAAGCCATGAGGCATATGTCCTGATGACCCAAACAGTTTCTACCAGGCCCCACATTCAGTATTGGAGATTACGATTAAACATGAGATTTGGGTGGGGACAAAAATCCAAACTGTATCAGAAAAAGAGGCAGCTAGGTAAGAATAATGCCCCAACTATTCTTTAGAACTGCTCTTAATCACT